CGGACAACGTTCAAGAATATCCCAAAGTACCCGAAAATGACCAAGGATATGTTTCTTGTTTATGGAGGTGATGAAGAGCTCGTCGTAAAGGGTTATGCCGATGCTAGCTTCGACACGAATCTGGATGACTCTAAGTCACAAACCGAATATGTATTTATATTAAATGGTGGAGCTGTCAGTTGGTGCATTTCCAAGAAGAGCGTCGTGGCGGGATCTACGTGTGAAGCGGAGTACATAGCTGCTTCGGAAGTGGCGCATGAAGGAGTCTAGATGAAGGACTTCATATCCGATCTGGGTGTAATACCCAGTGCATCGGGTCCAATGACAATGTTTTGTGACAACACTGGAGCAATTGCCTTAGCGAAGGAATCCAGGTTTCACAAGAGAACCAAACACATCAAGAGACACTTCAACTTCATTCGTGAAAAGGTCAAGGATGGAGACATAGAAATTTGCAAAATACGTGATGATCTGAATGTGGCAGACCCATTGAATAAACCTCTTATGAGGGCAAAACATGATCTGCACCAAGACTCCATGGGTGTTAGATTCATTACTACGTAAAGATTATTGACTCTAGTGCAAGTGGGACACTGTTGGAAATATGCCCTAGAGGCAACAATAAAGGGGTTATTATTATATTTCCTTAATCATGATAAAGGTATATTATTCATGCTAGAATTGCATTGAACGGAAACTTAAATACATGTGTGGATACATAAACAAATATCGTGTCCTTAGTGAGCCTCTACCAGACTAGCTCGTTGATCAAAAGATGGTTAAGGTTTCCTAACCATAGACATGTGTTGTCACTTGATAACGGGATCACATCATTAGAAGAATGATGTGATGGACAAGACCCATCCGTTAGCATAGCATATGATCGTTCAGTTTATTGCTATTGCTTTCTTAATGTCAAATACATATTCCTTCGACCATGAGATCATGCAACTCCCGGATACCGGAGGAATACCTTGTGCGCTATCAAATGTCACAACGTAACTGGGTGATCATAAAGATGCTATATAGGTATCTCTGAAGGTGTCTGTTAATGTGGCGTGAATCAAGATTAGGATTTGTCACTCCGTATGACGGAGAGGTATCTCTGGGCCCTCTCGGTAATATAGCATCACAAGAAGCTTGCAAGCAAAGTGACTAAGGAGTTAGTTGCAAGTTGATGTATTATGAAACGAGTAAAAAGGCTTGCCGATGATGAGATTGAACTAGGTATGGAGATACCGATGATCGAATATCGGGCAAGTAACATACCGATAGACAAAGGGAACTACGTATGTTGTCATAAAGGTTTGACCGGATCTTCATAGAATATGTAGGAACCAATATGGGCATCCAGGTCCCACTATTGATTATTGACCGGAGAAGCGTCTCGATCATGTCTACATCATTCTTGAACCCGTAGGGTCCGCACGCTTAATGTTCGTTGACGATATAGTATTATATGAGTTATGTGAGTTGGTGACCGAATGTTGTTCGAAGTCCCGGATGAGATCACGTACATGACAAGGAGCTCTGGAATGGTCCGGAGGTAAACATTGATATATAGGATGATACTATTTGGTCTCTGGAAAGGTTTTGGAATGCATCGGGGTTTTATCGGAGTGCTGTAAGGGGTTCCAGGAAGCCATGGGCACTTGGTGGGCCTCATGGGCCAAAGGAGGGAGGCGCACCAGCCCACTAAGGGGTTGGGCGCGTCCCACCTCCCTTACCCACGCGCCAGGAAGGAAATGGGGGGCGCCTAGGCAGGGCAGCCCCCCTCCTGCCTTCTCCTTCGTGCCCAAATATGGAAATGGGGCAGGCGCCTAGGACAAGAGGCTAGGGCTGGCCGCCGGCCCCCTTGGGGCGCCATAGGGCTGCCTCCCCTTCCCCCCACCTATATATATGTGAGGAGGGAGAGGGGCAACACGCACCACGATCCCCAAGCCGTGTGCGACGCCCCTCTCCCTCTAGTTCTAGTTCCTCCTCCGTCCACGTCCGTTGTGCTTGGCGAAGCCCTGCGGATAGCC